CCTTACGAGAGTTTTATCGGATCTTCCGACAGTGATGGTAATTGTTCATGCTAATAAAAAAAAAGCAAGGTTCTTGCCGGCGCAACGGCCGAAAGAAACGGTCTAACGTGCATCGAGCCGAGGGGGGTTTTACGCTCATTCTCCTCGCTTCGAGTTCGCGCTCGCGCTCGTCGGACTTCTCTGCTCGTTTTCCATTTCTACTAGCTGTCGACTGGCAGCGCCACGGAACAGTACAATGGACAGGTAGCAGCGTGCGGACAAGTGTCCTGGGAATTACCTATTGTTTTTCCCTTGCCCCGGAAACACACGGGGACCATCGGGAGCATTAATGCCTCTCGTAATAGAGGGAAGCACGTAATGCGAGCCGGGGAACGCGCGGCAGCAGATGCTCGCGCGTAATCCTCCTATGTAGTCTGGCGCACGTTTACGAGAGAAACGTCGCCTATACACCGAAGGTGGTGTAGGCAAAATTCGACACCGCCGTATAGTCACGACAGCAGCGCAGATGCGAGCTACACACAGAGGCGTTGAGATACACTTCTGGCGCGCTCTTCGGGCGCCAGAAGATTGTAAGTCTGAAAGCTCGGTGTTTCTCGGTGCTACAAGTCCGCGAAGACTCTCACGGAGTCATGTAAATGCTCTCAAGATAAATTACGAACATATTGCTTGTACGTTCTTGTTCGCATAATTGTTTCCCCAAATAAATAGCTATAGAAATATAGGAGATGTTGTACAACATCTCGCGCGCGCGCGCGCGTGCGCGCACACACACACACGCACATTGTTTTATCACGTGTCTATAAGGAACAAAACGATAATTATCTTCTCTCTGGATTTGTTTTAGCTCCGGGATGTTACGCGTCGTTACTGCTCGCGTTGCGAGCTTCTTTAAAATGCAAAACGGATGACGTAAACTAAACTTCTTCTCGAGATTCGCGGTCGCAGAAGACTGCGATAAAAAAAGAAGAGAAAGAAGATAAAAAAAAAAATAAAAACAAAACAAACGAGAATAAGAAGAGTGACCTACCGATCCGCACGTTTTTTACGCACATAAAACTGTCAAAAGTAAGGCCCTGAGCGCAATAGACAAAAATTAATATTTTAATAACGGCTCGATGAAACAATTGTACAACTCTAAGAAAAAACCAAAGTTTAAATCACAACATAAAACGCAGTGTATTCCGGACGTTTCGATCACTTTTTATTGTTGATCATCTTCAGCACTGTTTACATAATAATAAAGAGAATTATAAACTTTCAACCTGGACCATAGGCTCTTTTGGTTCTTTCTTAGTTTTACAATAAACAAAATATTAGAAATAGGAATAAATATTAAATAAGAAATTTTAAGTATTTCTTTACGAGTCAAAAAAATAGAATAAATTAATGCATCACAAGTTGAAAAATGAGAATTTGAAATAATTAATCTGTTCCACATTCTCTTGTTTAATATTTTATTTCACAATTTCAATTACCAAATATTTAATATTTATTTCTTATTCCCAATATTGTGTTCAGAGCCTTAATATGTATTCTGTGCGTATTATTACGAAGAGAAAATCGTCAACGTTTTACTAATAAAACCAATTAACAAGCTTCAATTAATTGTCCAATTATCTGACAGGTCGCGTCACAAATATAATTGTCAACATCTGGAAATTAAATATCGCGTTTCATATTAATCAAACGGGCGAGTAAACAAAACAGCGAAGCGCGACGTAATCGAGTTCACAGTTTTTCCTTAACAAGAGAGTTTCAATATGTCAACAGACACCATTTCCCGCAGAAACATGCCGGCGAAGAAGTCACGTTCGCTGATCATTTCACGCGATATATACCCCCGGTATGTTTTTATTTGAACTGGGTCACTGCGAGACTGCTGTCGCTCTTCAGGAAGCACTCGTAGAACTCCGGAGGCACTTAAACATCTCGACGATGCCGAGGAGTTTATTGCGTCTTTGACACCGAAGTGCAGTCGAAACCCATCATCGTCGCCGTCGTTCCCCGTCGTCATAGTCGTCGTCGTCGTCGTTGCCGTCGTCGTCGTCGCCGTCATAGAACGACGCGATACGCGGCAGCTGCTGCCGCGTAATGTCGCTTCCGCACAAACCTTCCGCGTCGCGAAGGGGAGAGAGACGGGGGGTCGAACTTGTCGTTAGAGAGAGCGTCGTTGCGCTTCTGGTTGCCTGGAGTTTCTCCTCTGTCCCGGTAATTCGAAAAATGCGCGAGAACTCGTCGCGAGAGAACAGCCGACCGCACATTATCTGTAATACCGCTCCCACCTATATTTGCAGGCTCGAGTTATCGATCGAAACGTCGAGAGAAAGAGGAGCGCGGGAAGAGAAAAAAATAAATAAATAAATTAACATAAAAAAATACTGACGAGATACGCGCGTTTTCGTTATTTGATATACAAGTATAAAATAAAATAATCATAAACCTGACACATATACCGTGCGGAGACTGCGGAGATATAATCTAGGGGAGACTGGGGACTGATTGTGTGACACGGGTAAAAAGTTACAAGCTTTGATTAGTGATGAAAAATAAGTGCTACATTAAAGCTAAAAAGATACAAACGTGCGACAACCGTCACGCGTCACACGCGTCGGTAACATCATCGTTGTCGCAATTATTTTTCATCGCTAATTTAAGGAATTGTAACTTTTTACCCGTGTCACACAACCAGCCCCGGTCTCCCCTAATTCGGAGATACTCGCGCGCGCGCGCAGAGTTCTTACATTTTGATTTTATTCTTGCGCGCAGGTTTTACGTTATTATACTTGGATTAAGCGAAAGAACTTCCGCTCGAGAATTTCAAGCAAAACGCTCGAAAGTTAGAGTACCGCGGCGGAGTGGCTATTAAGATGCTTCAAAAGCGCAAACGCCTTACGCTCGAGACTGGTACGCATGTGTGCAACACGCTACATCTCTCTCTCTCTCTCTCTCTCTCTCTTTCTTATAGATGTGGCAAATGCATTGTGTGTAACTGGGTCGCCAAGACGATTATCCTCGGATGTAACTACTGGTAAGGGATAGGTACGGGCATTATTATTACGCTCGAGAGATTCCGCGGAGTCCGTAGCCAAATCGAGTAGGAGATACTTTCGATTGCTCGCGACCGTCTATTCCCCGGAGTTATTTCTACGAGACTTCCCACATTGTTGACTCGCGCGCGGTGTATATATATATATATATATGTGTGTGTGTGTGCGCGCGCGTGCACATACACGCGATAAATTCGTATCGGCAACTCGCGGCCGCGCCGATGTATGATTTCCTTAGCGTGCATTTACGAATGTTGCACACGGACAACATTTTACGGAATAAAGCTGCGGAGCGCCAACGCGGAAGCAATACAACGATGAGATGGGAGAAAACACTAAAACTCCGAGTCTTCACGAGAAATTGATGTATCTGTATGTGTTTTTTTTTCTTTTTCCGTTTGCGCGCTTTCTCGTCCTATACCTTTTCCACGTCTTTCAATCACACATATTGCCGGGAAATTTAATGAAAGTACGTTTCTTGAGTACAAGTTTCTTACATCAAATTGTGACAGAGTATATAATCAAGAAAAAACGTAAGATAAAAAAAAAAAAAAACACGATAAAGTTCCATATTTGTGAAAAGTGTATAGAACGAAATATATATATATATATGTGTGTGTGTGTGTGTGTTGTTTTGATACGCTTCTATTTTCGCGATGAAGAACTTTCAGATACCAGTCACGCCGGGTACTTAGAGAAAGCGGAGAGACTTTTATGGTTGATTGCCGCAAAATTTACAGGCGAGGTTTTGAACGAAAGACGCTCTCCCGGAAAATCCTCGAAAACATTACCAAATCGGCACACGTGACCGCGAGCAAAGTCGCGCCAACAAAAGAAGGTGGAAAATAACAGAGATAGAGGAGAAGAGGAGGAACGTCGTAAAGGCGAAAAAGGAAGACCGAGGGGGAAAACGCACGGCGAGGTGGCGAGGAGAATCGAGCGAGAGAGGGAAAAAATATCCTATGAATTCGTGAGTGACTTCGGATATCACGTTCGGTCCCGCCTGGCGGAGATTTTCTACGACTTTGTAGTCCGCGATATATCCGGAGTCCGCTTGCAAGTTTAAACCGCGCCTTGCGCGCCCGTGTACGTGTCGCAAATGTATTCCACGCACAGCGCGCAAGGATTTTCCGTGCGCGCCTTGCCGTTTCGCCATTGCAGCTGCAATTTTTTTAGAAATTGGGGGCGCTTCGCGAGAGAAATATATTTTTCGGAATTTTCATATATATATACACGCGCTATGCGCAGCTTAAATATGGGGGTGGCGAACGAAGGAACGAAGACACTTGTCGGACACACGCGCGGTTCGTTAATTCACAAAAAGACACGCTGCAAGACGACGCGAGACGCATTCGTTAACTTTTTTATTTTGTTTTTATTTTTTTTTTTTTATCTCTCTCGTATGTAACTCCGTCGAGTTCGGTAAATTCCGCAGATTTATCGATACATAACTTTCTCTTTCTCTCTTTTATTAAGCTCGTAATCTCTCGTAAATATTATCTTTGCAACCGGACTCTAAATCACAGAGAGAGAGAGAGAAAGAAAGAGAGAGAGAGAGTGAGAGAGAGTCGGCAGGAATTGATATCATTAAACGTCCATTGTAAATGTGATTCAAAATGTGCCGGGGTGTGTAATTAGTGAGCCGTGATGAAAACGCGTAGATCGTACCCGATTCAATATCTACGCGTCGAATTTACGTTCGATTTTCATGCATAGCCATCGGGAAACGTAATTACGTTTATGACATTTAATCCGGAGTTATGTAATTACATGGTGTACTTTGTACGCGCCGCCATATATATATATATATATATATATATATATGTGTATATATATATATATATATATATATATATATATATATATATATATAGTATATATGTATATATATATATACATATCGCGCGCGCACAGAGTCCGTTCAAAAACTCGTTACACACAATCGTTACTTACGTCTTTATCCAACGGTTATTCGATCATCCAGAACATATTTGATCTCGATTCCTAGTAACGACGGCTCTCATTGACCTCTGAAAGAAGACCAAAACACAAAACAAATGAATGCCACAAGAATCTTCATGATCGTTGGATTGAGAATTTCATAACAAAATCGTCGCGAATCGCGCGCACATTGTCCCGCTGCTAAAAGGATTGAATATCAACGTCCACAAAATAATATCAAACGCGTTGCGCAACGTTACGCGCGTTTACAACAACACGCGTAAGCAAAACCACAAATTGGACGCACAATTCCACGGCCCGGTGCGTAATCATTATACCCCTTCATTGTTTCACAGTCCAAACATCCGTTGATCATTATTCACAGTTAATATTCCTCGGAGAAAATTGGGAATATATTCGCGTTTGCGGCGAGATCGTTTCGTGTAATACCGTCGATAATTTCGCGATCGAGAAACTAACTCGCGCGCGCGACAAAAAAATAAAACTCATTGTCAGGATCGAGGAGAGAGAGGGAGAGAGAGGCTTCACAGACACACACGAGCGAGTTTAAAGCGGAACGGCATTCATGAGGCGAGAGAGAGGAGAGAAGCGCGAGAGAGCGCGTTATTCACGAGTCCATCGCGAGAATATCGACAATCTCGTTCTCGCAAACTTTTACAGGGAATACTCGCGTAGGATTCTTGCGACGCGACGGCGTGTACTCTGCTGAAATTAAAATCGATACTTGCGGGAAAGAGAGCGACGAAGAAGAAGAAAAATAGAGATAAACGTTCGGATTTTTACTCTTCCCGCGCTCACGCTCGCGCTCGCGCTTATAAAGCCGTGTAAAATCGCCGAAGAAGGGAAGAGAGAGCGCGTTTGGATAAATAATCATTCGTGCAAGAGCACGAAAATGTCCCACGTAGGGAGGTGGAGGAGGTAAAGGAGGAGGAAGCTGCCGATAAGGGTGAGGCGAATAACGAAGTGGAAGAAGCGAGTCGTAAAGCAGCGGGAATAAATAGTCGGGGCGTCAAGTCGGCGGCCGAAGTTTGCGAACGCGCAAATCCTGAGGGAAGTCTTAAACGAGAATTCCGCGTGATCGTTCTCTCCCGCCTTCCCCTTCTGATTCCCCGCATTCTTCGTGTAATTATTTTATCGTTGCAAAACAGCAATGCCGCGCTGAAAGTTTTGCAGCTTCCCGTCAATGTATCGGTCGTTTGCGCTGCGTATATTTATATCTAGATTATATTTCTCTCTCTTCCTCTCTTTTTCTAGTTAGTTTATATTTGATGATAGCAGATCAAGTATCAGTTAGTTTCGTCAGTTATTATATTTTATTCTTTTATTTTTCTTTTTTGTACTTTTTATTATTTTTTTCTTTTTTTTTGAAATTTTACTATAACATTATTGTTTATTTATTGTTTATTATACGTTACTTTTTTTAGCTATGCAAGTTCTTGCGCTTAAGGGGATGTTATCCCGAAGCGCGCAATAAATGACGCTTTCTTTCTCTTTTCTATAAAAGTATACTAAATAAAAATATATAGTAGAAAAAATCTTATTTCTCGCATCTTAATTAGAGAAAAAAAGAATAAAATTGCTCTTAATTCCACAATATAAAAAAACACGCATAAACTGTGTACCAAATGATAATTTCGATTATTCCCCGAAGAAAATGGTAGTTTCCTCTCGTTCGAGGAAGTTTACTTTATTGATGTTCCCTTACTTAAGCGTCCCAAAACGAAGAAAGTTGGACGAAATTCTGAATGGAGGAAGGAAGGTGCGAAGCCGCAGCGAGAATAAGTGGTGGAATGCCCGACCAGAATTTACGAGCAATACTTTCCCACCAGAAATTCTCGGGATATTCGCGAATACCATCGCGTCCTCGCGAAATCGTATAGACTACTTTCCATATACTTAATATTGTTCTTTCTTTCCTTTTATCGACAAGATTTCGTTCGCACTTCTCTTCGAGATGTAAGCCGCAATATCTCGAATTAGCTTTTGAAAATTTGTTACTTAAGTATGTGATCAAATTTATATGAATATATCGAACATATCCAGTAACGAAGGAATATATATATATATATATATATATATATATATATATATATATCTTATTGTACATGCGTGTAAAATAAAAGGTAATCTAATCCCTTATAAAAAAAATCCATGTATACCGTAAAGTGCGCGTATTTGAGTCAAATGTATCGCATCTATTGTTGCCTCCTTTCTCCGCGTTGCCGATTGATTAGTTGGTTGATATAGTCGAGTCGAGTCGAATCAAATCGGTAAGATCGAGAGAGTAAATAATGACAGGAAAGCGATTTTGAGACAATTCGTCGTATATACGTGGAGAAAATTAAAAACATGACTAAAGTAAAGTCACGTGACAGGAAAGAGTAAAAAAACAACATGTGACTAAAGTAACGTGACTGTAATTTATATTATATATAACATTAAATAATATATATTACACGTATAATTTTTATATATTTATAATATTATACTTTATATTGTATTATACGTATTATATACATACTACAGTAAGGTCACTGACCTCGGCCGCGCGACCTTGGCGGAGTCACTGACCTCGGCCGCGCGACCGTGGCGGGATTACTGACTTTGGTCACGTGTTTTTCCATTCTCTCCTTTTTCTTTTATTTTTCGAGTTTGATTTTCATGCATCATTTCTGACATTTCTCATATGTACGTCTCATGTGTATTACATTGTTTGTAAGACGCATATACCAGCTGTCATTGCGGTAACAAGTTAAGTTCACTGACACTACACGTTAAAATAAAAGCAATAATAGCGCGCGTCCGTGTTGTGCTAGTAATTCTACGAAAAAAAGCGTGTAAATAATAATAATAAATAATAATAAATGTATAAATAATCACAATCGATTCTCTCGATATACTGTTGTCACTTTTATCTCGACGCTGATTAGATGTTTCTCGGAGGTGTTTTTCGATTCATTTCGAACGAATTAAGAGACACGGTGGTGCCTCGCGTCAAGTTCACGCGCAACAAAGTCGCGCTCGTGTCTTTAAAAACGTGACTAAAGTAAAGTCACGTGACAGGGAGAAGTGGAAAAACCACACGTGACTAAAGTAACGTGACTTTGCTTTAGTCAGATAAGATATTACATTTATTTTATAAGAAACTGTATACACTCGGATTAAAAAAAGAAAAAAAAGAAAATCTACAAATATTTAGATAACATTTTTTCAAAAAACTTGCAAGATTTACTCACCGTTATTCATTCGTAAAATTTTACGCCAATTATGTTTCATCTTTCATGCAGAATCCCGCACTGAAGATGACTAACAAATTATATTCGTATTACATTATTTGGGTTTAATTTATTTTGCAAAATATCCAGCAATCCCGCTCAAGTAACGCTTCATTGCACTATTCGTTTTGGATTTATCACGCCTGAATCATATTCCTCGTTATATTGTCTATTTAAATGAAAACAATAAATTTGTTCCGAACAATAATGTATGGAATTCAAATTTCTTTTTTTTTTTTTTTTTTTTTTTTTTTCGATATAGCTTCTCTCGAAGGAACATTCCGTTGTATAGTACACCCTCATTCTTATGAAATTGTGTCTTCCATTGACTCTCTAGTTTTTATGTTTACGAAGCGACAAGCAGCGGTTTTCTGGAGCGAACCACTTCGTTCCGGTGAGAGGAGAGAGGGTGTTCCTTTTATATGAGAGGGAAACCCTCGCGATGTCGCGCGTCCGCCACAGACGCGATATTCATACGAATAACATTCAGTTTCCCGGTCGTCATGGAATTTACGAGAAAGACGAACCGCGGATCGGTGAAAAGGAATTGAGAGACCAGGCGATAGGAATAAATAGCGGAATATATTCGACGCGACAATTCCAGTTTACGACTAATACGGTAAAGGAAATCTTGAACGTCGATATCCGTATACGTTTCGTTTCTCGTGTTTGCTCTCTTAAAAGAGCTCTCTCTTTCTTCGTTTCTATTCGCTCGCGTAAGTTAAGTTCGCCTCAAGTTTAAGAGAATCCAAAGCAGAAAGATTTTCACGCATAGGTAAATTGAGATTCCACACGTCTGATCAATAAATCGTCTCAGATAACATGTTTGAGACAATATTTTTAACTTCGTTTTCACGCGTTTCTCATTCAAAAAAAATTTAAAAAGCTCGTGAAAATTAAAAAAAAAAAAAAATCGCGCGTCTAAGTTTACACAGGTTTTTTTGCGAATTAACAATTTGATATTTGATTTTGCGAACAATAATATTCCTTCGTTACTGAAGATATGATATATATTTCGAGACGCAATTTGAGAAGCACTGCGCTAGAACGACACAACGTTGAAAACGACGAGCTCGGCGCCGCCGGCCGAATTTTGGCCGCAGGAACTCGACGCGTGAGTCCGCGTCGCAAGAACTTTCGTTCTGAGGATTCCGTAATTTCGTCCTTATTGCCGCGAGCAAGAACTACGTGTTCAAACTAGTAATTAAGGAACAGAAACACATTCAATAGCGCGTAGAGTTAAAGTTAAAAATACAAAGTTATTAAAAAATATTACCGTAAATGACAAAAATAAATAAATAAATAACAAACATAAATAACAAGAATAAATGAAACAAAAATATGCGCGCTAATATTTTTTTTAACCCCTCTCCCCCAATATCGACATAAACACGATCTCGTTCCGTTCAGATGTTTCTTGATTTATCGTATAAAAAAATTAGATGTGATAAAATGCATTATGACACAACGTAAATGTTCCAAATAACAAATGACGAGGTGTTTTCGCGCTAAAAGTGCGACTAAAAAATAATGCCGTGCCGTAAAATACACTCTGTCATAAAATAACTCGGATTTATACGACATGTCGAATAATAAAGTGTGACGCGATTGGCGATCTATACTAGTATGAAAGAAACAACCTCGAAACACGCTCCGTTCTCGAGCTCAATAATGACATTTCTGACTTTTCCCGAGAAACATTTGTGTAAGAAGACGCGAGCTCGGCGTATCATATTAATTGCGTTATCGAAAGCGTATTGCGTTACTTCTTCTAGTTACGTTCTTAATTAACA